ATCTATACATATACAATCTATTCTCTCTCTCTCTCTCTCTCTCTCTCTCTCTATATATATATATATATATACATTCTTACAGATATATACACACACACACACACACACACACACACACACACACACATATATATATATATCACTGTAAGACTGTAATGTTCCCAGATATATTCAGTGTCTTAAAGGTTAATCAATGTTTATGTAAATTCCATTCATTCAATAGTTTTACTCTAACTGGGGCTAACAACAGGATCTGTCCCAATTGTTCATCCCATAATTAGCAATTGCTGGGGAGAGTAAGGGTTCAGATCATTATTTGAACCATGTTGTGGAAGGAGAAGGAGAAGAAATGTAATTACTTGTTTGTACCTTAATCTAGATCCTGACTGGAACTGTACATGTACAATTATTTATTGCGTCTCTGGAACCTGGTCCTGTACACACACAGAGACGAGTCCTTTCCTCATCCCAGAAACAGTACTATTTATAAATCTCCATAAATAGTAACATGTTAATATGTCTGTTTTCCAACAAAGGGTGAGGTTTCCATGTTCTGATTTGCAAAGCATAAGCAGTTTTTCTCTGAATACAAGAAACAACCCCCCCCCCCACACCAGCCCACAGAAAATCCATCATGGTAGACCAGAACACCATTTAAATGTCCTTGATCTCTGTTGAGTAGTGATTTGTCTAGATATTATATCTGATCATTACGAATGACCAGCTTTTGGAAAAGCTACCTGTTTGCATTACATGATCACTGGGGGATTCTAGAAGTTGTAGATCAAACCTGAATATTTTCCCCCAAGCTCAGTTCTTAAACCCCAGGAAGGCAACAGAGCAAGTGCCTGCTCTTCACATCCAAGTGCGGTTTAATTACACAATGGAGGAAACCCCCTAAACTTGCTGGTGCTCAGTTTGATAACATATTGTTGTTGTGTGCCTTCAAACTGACTTCAGGTTCACCACAACACTATCATAGTGTTTTCTTGGCAAGATATATTTAGAGGAACTTCACCATTGCCTTCCAATAAGGCTGAGAAAGAGTAACTTGCCAAAGGTCACCCTGTGAATTTTCATCCTCAAGTGGAGATTCAATCCTAGAGCCTTATTCCAACACTCAGAACACTAAACCACACTTGCTCCCATTTCTTTTCTGTTTTATAATATATATTTGATTAAACACCACATCCCTTCTGATCTTGAAAGATGAATAAGATCAGCCTTGATACTTGAATGGGGCCCATTAACAAATACCAGGTGCTGTAGGTCATATTTCAGAGGAAGGAACTGGCAAAATTCCTTACGTAAAAACATCCTATGAACTTAATAGTGACATCATAAGTTAACAGGCAACTTGAAGGCATATATGCATGCACACAGTTCCTATGGTCCTCCTTTTAGACACTCAAATTACAGGTACTTTTTATATGCATAGCTTGCTCCTTTACGAGGTTCCTAATGGTTTTCCATACAGATAGCTCACCAGATAAGAGTAGAACTTAGTTTCAGTAAAGGAAGATGGGAACACTATTATCCCTACTATCCGGTATACTTGGGGAGCTACGGCAAACAGCTGAATTGGAGTGTTAATGAAAGGACAATGCGGGGTCAGTTTTGTTTAAAATAAATACCTTTGAGAGGTGAGAGAGAGTGAGCATGATATAGTTATTTAAGCACTACACAAGGGGTCCTCAAACTAAGGCCCAGGGGCCGGATACAGCCCTCCAAGGTCATTTACCTGGCCCTCACTCAAGATCAACCTAAGTCTGAAGTGACTTGAAAGCACACAACAACAACAATCCTATCTCATCAGCCAAAAGCAGGCCTACACTTCCTATTGAAATACTAATCTATATAAATAAAAATGTAATGTTCGTTTGTGGGATTAACATAACTCAAAAACCACTGGAGGAATTGCTGCCAAATTTGACCACAAGACACCTACTAACCCAAGGAGTGACCATCACTAAAAATTGATTTTGTCATTTGGGAGTTGTAGTTGCTGGGATTTATAGTTAATCTACAATCAAAGAGCATTCTGAACTCCACCAATGATGGAATTGAACCAAACGTGGTACAGTACACAGGACTCCCATGACCAGCATGGATATTGTTGGGCATTGACCTTGAGTTTGGGAGTTGTAGTTCATCTACATCCAGAGAGCACTGTGGACTCAAACAATGCTAGATCTGGACCAAGCTTGGCATGAATATTCCATATGCCTAATATGAACATAGATGGAGTTAGGGGGAAAATAGAAGCTGACATTTGGGAGTTGTAGTTACTGGGATTTATAGTTCACCTACAATCAAAGAGCATTCTGAACCCCACCAATGACAGAATTGGGGCAAACTTCCCACACAAAACCCCCATACTTAAGGCCATCCAGTCCAACTCCCTTCACAAGGGCAAGAAAACGTAATCAAAGCCCTCCTGACAAAGAGCCATCCAGCCATAGATATAGATAGATAGATACGATTCAAACACACACACAGTATCCTAGATTTGAAAGGGACCCCTAAAGAAGGACAATGATATGTTGCATGTTCCAGGGTAGGCAAACCAGACAATCTCCACATCAACACTGACAAAGAAACAGCAAGAAATACTGTTTATCCGTAAGCAGAAAGAAATTTCATATATTAGAAACCAACACTTTCTCATTACTTTTCCAGATCACCAGACTGGGCCACAGCAACACAAGGCAGGGGATGGCTAGTAAGTTTATATTTGTTGAAATTGTTCTTCATTTTAATTATTGTATTGTTTAAAATGTTTTTTTGTACTACAAATAAGGTATGTGCAGTGTGCATAAAATTATAATCCGGCCCTCCAACAGTTTGAGGGACTGGGTTGTTGTAGGTTTTTTCGGACTATATGGCCATGTTCTAGAGGCATTCTCACCTGATGTTTCACCTGGATCTATGGCAAGCATCCTCACAGGTTGTGAGGACTTGTGACCTAGCTCTCTGTTTAAAAAATTTGAGGACCCTGCACTACACTATGACTTTGGAGGCCAGGTCTCTACTCAGTCATGGAAACCCAGCTCAGACACTTTCCACCTCAGAGGAAGGCAGGACAACCCTCTCTGAACTAATCATAGAAAGGTTCATTTCAAGGTTGCAGTGAAGGCATGCAACAAGGCAAATTGAGAGGATTTCTTGGATTTTTTTGTTTCCAGGTCTAAAGCAGCTGCATTGGTCTTTATTACTAGCCAACTTGCTTCCCAAGAAAATCCTGTGATAGTGTTGTAGTAAACTGGAGTCAACTTGAAGGCACATAACAACAATATGTTATCAAACAGAACACCAGGAAACTTAGGGGTTCCCTGCAACATGTAATTTGATATGGAGGGTGGACACTTTCTCTTTACATCAACATACTTCCCATCACTTGTTATTCAGTCTCAAGCAGCAAAACATCTTGGACCAATCCTGCAGTGCCAGCTGGGATTCCTTTATCAATAATGTGGTGACTCTATTGGGTTTTAAAGTATCTGACTGTAGCTACCCAAACTTCTAAACTTATTTTGAAGATAGGGTTCAACTCCCTGCATTGCTCATGTACCATATGGATTAAAATCACTACAAATTCACCTTTGCACAGGCATGGAAGTCAACAAGAATAGGAAAGTATACCAGGTCAGGTATTTGTCCACCTTGCCCAATATCTAGTTATACTAGAAGTGGCTCTATCAGTTCCTAGGAAAAAAGTTTTTCCCTGTGATCTGTTATCCTGATCCTTTTTAGTGAAAATAGAAGGAACTGATTTTGGGACTTACTGCATGCAAAGCATGTAATTTACTACAGCGGTCTGGCCAACCTTCTGCCTGAGGTTGGTGGGGGCAACTCTGTTACCATTAGCAGAACATGAAAAGGTTACTGTTTGGGATGACAGCCCCTCCCCCCATGATCCCTCAAATACAGTGTTTCTCAACCTTCCTAATGGTTCAACCCCTTAATACAGTTCCTCATTTCATGGTGAACCCCGACCATAAAATTATTTTTGTTGCTACTTCATAACTGTAATTTTGCTACTTTTATGAATTGTTATGTAAATATCTGCTATGCACAATGTATTTTCATTCATTAGACCAAATTTGGCACAAATACCTGATACGCCCAAATTTGAATACTAGTGGGATGGGGGGGGGGGGTTGATTTTGTCATTTGGGAGTTGTAATTGCTGGGATTTATAGTTTACCTGCAATCAAAGAGCATTCTGAACTTCACCAATGATGGAATTGAGCCAAACTTGGCACAGAGAACACCCATGATGAACAGAAAATACTGGAAGGGTTTGGTGGGCATTGACCTTGAGTTTTGGAGTTGTAGTTCACCTATATCCAGACACAGCGGACTCAAACATTGATGGATCTGGACCAAAGTTGGCACAAATACTCAATATGCTCAAATGTAAACACTGGTGGAGTTTTGGGAAAATAGAACTTGACACTTGGGAGTTGTAGTCACTGGGATTTATATATTAATTCTAAACCCTAACTGCGAAACAGCAAGTCTGCAGAAAGCAAACCATAAAACAGCAAGGGAACACTATATAGCCTGTTTGTTGAGGCAGGAGACTGTCTGTGTAAGTGGACTCCTCCGCCACATACACACATACACATTTTTCACTTTTATTATGTGTATAGATTCAAATGGAAGTGAAACTATTATGTCATGGTCTCAACCTTTTTCCTACCCAGCAGTACAAACTCTCCTACATTAAAAATATTGTCACATGAGTATAACATGCATGTGTATGTGTATGCAGAATTAGAATATACTTGCTCATATATATTAGAACTTGGAATGGAAATCAATGGAATTCAACTTCCAGAATCCTCTCAGCTCAGTAGCTATGCTCATAATGGGATTCTGGGAGTTATAGCCCAAAAAGAACACTTCTAGGCTCTGGTATGATAACAAACAATGCATCTCCACACCATTCATTCTGTAAAATAATTGAACTGAGCATAACGATGACAGCATTTTACCTTATATACATTGATGGGAATATCTATGATGATATAGATGAGGTCTCCCATTGCCAGGCTAGCTATCAGTGCATTGGGGCCATTCCTCATGCACTTGTTCTTGTAGATAATCTGTAGCAAAGTTACATTTCCAACAATCCCAATGATGAAGACTGCACAGGATATTACTGTATTGATGTATTTGAAAGTGTCATCAAGCCTGGCGTTATGACGGCATTCTGTTCTGTTGGAGTTACTGGTAGGTTGGGATCTGCTCATTCCAGAGGAATCTTTTCCAGGGTCATTCAGACTTGAATTGTCGGCATGGTCACTGAGGACAGATCCAGTTACTAGCAGTGCCAAGATCATCCTGAAATGTAGTGCTTCCATCTTCAACTCCAAAAATCAGTATGATCTATATTTTATTGGGCCTTGCTTATTTTACCTACAAAGAAGAACAAAAATATTTATGTTGAAACATCAGCTCAATAATTGAAGCAAACATTTATTCATGTTGGTTGTCAAAGAGATTTCCCCCCTTCGTTCTGAAAATCAAATAATCAGCATTTTAATTTTAGCTAGTTAGCATCTGAACTAAAAGAAAGTTTTTCGTATCATTTCTTTGTCTGCAATACATATCCATTTCTATGAAAATATAATTCAAGCAGCTAGCAAGGAATTAGGTCAATAAATATAGAAAAATATAACAATAGAAACGTCACTGAAATAATTAGAGTACTCAAGCATAAAAAAACGAGAAGAAAACTCATAAAACCCCAGATGCAGACAGATTGAACTTAAAAGAACCCAAACAGAGACATCTGCTCATGTACATTACTACCTGAAAAAACTCATTCAGTGCATGCTTATTTGCAACATTCATTTCCACATACTGCACGTGTGGAAAATCTATAGCCTTCCAGATGTTTTGGATAACAACTTTCTCAACTCCTTACTCTTCACCATACTTGGAAGAACTGGTAGGAGCTGCAGACCAGCACATGAGAAGGCCCAAAGTTCTCCATTCCTGATGGAGCAGGTTCTTGGGTTATACAAGCAAACTCTCACTTGCAAAATGGGGCTATTCTTAGGTGTTGGCCTATTCTTCCCCATGCTTTTTTTGGTACCACCTCAAAATCTGCCCTGTTGTGGTCTACAGTCCCTCCATGTAGATCTTTCCTTTGATGTATCACCACTTTAAAAAAATGTGTTGATAATCATAACGCAGGACTAGGATCATAAATCTAGTGGTTATAAGAGAATGTTATTCACACTCACCTACTTTTATTCATAATCAATATCATGGTTTTGATTTTCTTGATTACAGCAAATCAATAAAAGGTAAAGGTTTCCCCTGACATTGAGTCTAGTTGTGTCCAGTTCTGGGGGGGGGGGGGGGGGGAGCTCATCTCAATTTCTAAGCCAAAGAGCAGGCGTTGTTTGTAGACGCCTCCAAGGTCATGACTGCATGGAGCGCTGTTACCTACTTATTGATCTACTCATATTTGCATGTTTTCAAACTGCTAGGTTGGCAGAAGCTGGGTCTAACAGTGGGAGCTCATCCCATTCCCTGGGTTCAAACCCCCCTGGACATTCCACAGATATATAAGCTTCGCTTGCCTATTTTCCAACAGACCTCACAACCTGAGGATGCCTGCCATAAATGTGGATTAAACGTCAGGAGAGAATGCTTAGGGAACATGGCCATACAGCCCGGAAAACTCACAGCAACCCAAATGCTAAACAATTCAGGCAACAGATCAAACTATGCATTAAATTGAAATGAACAACATATTCTAGCCACCCCATTGCTTTCAAGAGGGAGTGAATTTTGCTGGATTGTGTTCAAACCCATCTTTGCTGCATTTCCCTCTAAGGAGATGCATTTAGGCTTGTAGGCCAAATTAAATACCTTGTTACCATCCAATTTAAATCAAGGTACTTTGGCTGTTACTTAGTTGTACATGGTGGTTTCTTGTAGGATTTTTTACAGCATGTACAAGAAAAAAACATTTCCAGGAATAACTGGGTTGTTGTAGGTTTTTCCGGGCTATATGGCCATGTTCTGGAGGCAGGAAAAATTTCCAGGAATAAGTTAGACATTAGAAAAAACAAAAAAGTCTCCAAATTTTGGACATAATTCCCTAGAGCAGGGCACTACGAGAGATATAGATAAACCATACATTTCTCATGTATACAATATTTAAGGCAGCTTAAGTAAATTCCCCTGAATCCAAAAGATTTCCAAATAAACATGCCTAGGGCTGAACTTTAGATCAGTTTTATTTGCATGTAAACCTGCTGGCAACTCAACTACAATGAGACAAAGTGCTAGTCTATATAAATAAAAATGTAATGTTCGTTTGTGGAATTAACATAAGTCAAAAACCACTGGACGAATTGACACCAAATTTGGACACAATACACCTATCAGGCCATCGAGTGACCATCACTCATAAAAACACTGAAAAACACAGCAGAAGATACTAAAAAAGTCAAAAAACAAAAATTACATTACAACACATGCGCAAAACCACATATATATATACGCAAACACAAATATATACACACACAAAACACATATACACAGACTGGGCCACAGCAACACGTGGCAGGGGACGGCTAGTATAAAATAAAAGTTTAGCAGTGTACGTTTTGTGCTGTGTCTCGCTTTGATCTCTCTCTCTCTCTCTATAAATTATATATAAAAACATATAATTCAGGCATTAAATTGATATTCCAGTTCCGGCATATGTATTTGTTAAAAAATCTTGTTAACAGGACATAGTGCTTTTCCCTAAAAGTGCTTTAGGATCTTAGTCTTTTCTTTTTAAATAACTGCCATTTTCACTAAAATGCACAATGTGTCTTAGACACATTGGATTGATTCCAGCTGTAGACATACTTTGAGTAGACTCAGTGACTAATTTAATTCCCATTGATTTCAGCGGCTATGTAAGAAGTATAACTAAATCTGGCAGCGACACATTTCACGTGGAAGAAGGAAAGGCCTTCATTTTCAAAGAAAACAGGGTAAATTCTGCCATTGAGTCATTAAGAATTAGATGATTCTAAATTGATAATCTCTTGGCTGTTCAGCAACTCTATGGAAAACACATGGATGGGTCTTTCTATTCAGAGGCAGTCAATTGTTTAGGGTTTTAGTCTGAAATCTTAAAGGTGATGCAAAGGGAGCTTAAACCCATCTCCCAAATAGCTTTTGCATTTTGTACAGCACTTTTAAAATCTGGATTAGACCCCAGAGCAGATTCACTGCCCTAATGACCTCGAACACCTCAACTGACACTACCGGTTGAACATCCCTGACCTGAAATTCTTTTGAATTTTGAAATATTTCTAGATACATAAGTGTGCTGTAGTGGTTTCAATATTGGACAAGATTCTGGAGAATAGGGTTCAAATCCCCATTTAGTCATGAAAATCCACCCAACAACCTTGGGCAAGCCACGGTCTCTTAGGGTGCATCTACACCAGGTATGGGCAAACGCAGGCCGAGGAACCAGATGCGCCCCTTGGGCTCTTTTCTCAGGACCTCCTCTCTTTCACCATCCTATCCTTCCTTCCTTCTCTCTTCTTCCTTCTTCCCCCCTCTCTTCCTTATCTCTCCCTCTCACCCTCTTACTTCCCTTGCACACTTTCATCCTTCCTTCCCTCTTCCCTCCCTCCTTTCCTCTCTCCCTTTCTCCTTCCTTCCCTCCATTGCCTTCCATCCTCCCTCCATTCCTTCTTTTTCCTTTCTCCTTCCTTCTCTCCCTCCCTCCCTCCCTTCCTTATCTCTCTTTCTCTCTCTCTCTCGCCCTCTTCCTTCCCTTGCACCCTTTCATCCTTCCTTCCTTCCCTCTTCCCTCCCTCCTTTCCCCTCTCTCTTTCTCCTTCCTTCCTTCCTTCCCTTTTGTTTTTCCTTTCTTCTCTCTTTCCTCCCTCCCTCCATTTCCCTCCACGCTTCCTTCCATCCATCTTTCTCTTCCTCCCTTCCTTCTCTTCCTTTCCTCCTGGGGGATGTTTAGCTGGGAGAAGAGAAGATAGAGAGTGAACACGAGAATCATGTTTCAAGATATAAAAGGGTGTCCCATTTAGGAGAAGGGGGATGTTCCAGAAGCATTTTCTCCTGATGCTTTGCCCACATCTATGGCAGGCATCCTCAGAGGTTGTGAGATGCCTGCCAGAAATGTAGGCAAAACATTAGGTGAGAATGCTTCTGGAACATGGCCATACAATCTGGAAAACTCACAACAACTCAGTGATTCCAACCATGAAAGCCTTTGACAACACATTTCACATTGGTATCAAATTTTTAGATATGCGCCATTTAACGGTCTTGGAGATGCGGCCCAAAGTCTAAACACAAAATCAATTTATGTTTCATGCACACCTCACAGACAGGATAAAAATAAAGCAAATGTAAAAAAGAAATCTTGCTTAGAAAACCCTGAGATAAGTTTGCTGGAAGTCAGAAACAACTTGGAAGGCACACAACAACAAAATGAAATTTCTTGGAAATGCGACCCAAGTCTAAATACAAAATCCATGTATGTTTCAGGTACACCTCATATGCATACCAAGTCCCTATATCAGCACAAAGGAGAGTTAAAATTGTAATAAAAATTAAAAAATAATAGCCAAAAGCCATTTTATACACCATATTTGTAGTAATGTTGCACATGAAACAAAGTTTGTGTACCACCAGAAAGGCATCACTTTCTCACGGACCCTTTTGGAATGTCAGCATGCTGGAAGAAGCAAAGACCACCAGCACTGAAGCAATGTCCCTACGCCATCAACTCTACTGGATTGGCCACATTGTCTGAATGCCTGATCACTGTCTCCCAAAGCAGTCACTATACTTCCAAGTCAAGAATGGGAAACGTAATGTTGGTGGACAGGAAAAGAGGTTTAAAGATGGGCTTAAAGCCAACTAAAAACTGTAGAATAGACACTGAAAACTGGGAAGCCCTGGCCCTTGAGCACTCTAATTGCAGGTCAGCTGTGACCAGTAGTGCTGTGGAATTCGTGGAGGCACAAATGGAGGGCAAAAGGGAGAAACATGCCAAGAGGAAGGCACATCAAGCCAACCCTAACTGGGACCACTTTCCACCTGGAAACCGATGTCTTCACTGTGGGAGAACATGTGGATCAAGAATAGAGCTCCACAGCTACCTACGGACCCAACTCCAAAAACTTCAACTCCATCATCCTTGTAGCTCCCTGTGGCGCAGTGGGTTAAACTCTTGTGCCGGCAGGAGTGAAGACCAACAGGTCGCAGGTTCGAATCTGGGGAGAGTGCGGATAAGCTCCTCTCTCTCAGCTCCGGTTTCCCATGCAGGTACATGAGAGAAACCTCCCACAGGATGGTAAAACATACGGGCATCCCCTGGGCAATGTTCTTGCAGACAGCCAATTCTCTCACACCAGAAGAGACTTGCAGTTTCTCAAGTCGCTCGTGACACACACAAAAAATCCTTGGTCTACGAGGGATCACCTAAGTAAAATGAAAGTGGCCCTTTTGGAGCATTTTAGTTAAGGGATGCTCAATTTGTACCTTAGAATCATAGAATCATAGAGTTGGAAGAGACCTCATGGGCCATCCAGTCCAACCCCCTGCAAAGAAGCAGGAAAATTGCATTCAAAGCACTCCCGACAGATGGCCATCCAGCCTCTGTTTAAAAGCCTCCAAAGAAGGAGCCTCCACCACACTCTGGGGCAGAGAGTTCCACTGCTGAACAGCTCTCACAGTCAAGATGTTCTCCTAATGTTCAGATGGAATCTCCTTTCTTGTAGTTTGAAGCCATTGTTCCGCGCCCTAGTCTCCAGAGCAGCAGAAAAGAAGCTTGCTCCCTCCTCCCTATGACTTCCTCTCACATATTTATACATGACTATCATATCTCCCCTCAGCCTTCTCTTCTGCAGTATTTATTTATTTATTTATTTATTTCGGGCACTTCTACCCCACCCTTCTCAACCCCCTAGGGGGGACTCAGGGCAGGTTACAACTGGCACAATTCAATGCCAACAATTTTACAGATAAAATACATAACAGCAATAGCCACAATAGTTAAAAACAATCAATTAATACAATAACAACTAAAAAGCCAATCTAGTGGCCAACGTTCAGCGAGTTCTAAAATCCGTAAGTCCATTCAGCATTACCATAGTCCTTTCCAAATTCTGGTCCTCATTACCTTGTCAGTCTGCCAGATTACCCAAAGGCCTAGTGCCATATCCATGTTTTCAGCTTCCTTCTGAAGGAGAGGGGGGATGTTGATGACCTAATTTCCCTGGGGATTGAATTCCACAGGCAAGGGGCCACCACTGAGAAGGCCCTGTCCCTCGTCCCCACCAGCCTCACTTGTGATAGAGGCAGGACCGAGAGCAGAAGATCTTAAACTCAGAGGTGGGACATAGAAGGATAAACATGCCCAGCAATTTAAGCCGCTTCTCATAGGGCTTGTTCTCCAGACCCATGATCATTTTAGTCGCTCTCCTCTGGACACGTTCCAGCTTGTAAATATCTCTCTTCAGAATTGGACACAATATTCCAGGTGTGGTCTAACCAAGGTAGAATAGAGGCTTACTGTGTTCATACGTCTCAGGGCCCTTCCAGACAAACTCTTTATCACAGGATCTGATCCCAAGTTTTTTGTTTATCCCAGTCAGATTATCTGGCAGTGTGAACTCATATATTCCAGTTTAAAGCAGAAAACCTGGGATCTGGGTCCTGTCTAGAAGGGCCCTCAACTGCAGGGAAGAAATCATGGAAGGAGGCTGTTGATAAGGGTTCACCATCTCCTCGCCTCCTATTGTAGCCTCCCTGGGTCTGCTTTTGCCTTGAATCAGCATCTGCTGTCATTTCCTCCCACTTCTTGACCTTCCCAGTTAGCAGAAGGACATTCAGACAAAGCAAAGAACTTTAGATGGCACAGAAGAGAGGGACTGTTCCTCACCCCCCTCCCAATCCGTTCTCCTTTCACACAAGACCAAGATACACACATCTATTTCAAAATCGCCGCCACTTTCAGAAAGATCAGCCACTTTCCCCCTGCAGTCTCCCTGGCAGCATCTCCCAAAGAGCCTGATACCTTCCTCCCTTCCTTCTGTGGTCCAAACACAAAGAGACCAACCCTTCCAGGAGACTCACAAAAGGGGGTATTTTTTTATGAGACCCTACCGTATGAGGAGGGATTTGTTTCCCCCAGCTGGACGTGCAAGTTTGGGGAGGAAGGAGCTCCTGGCTGCGTCTCTTTCGGAGGAGTTGTGCTCGACTTCTGCCTGGATGGCTGCTCTCTCCTCCTCCGCCCCTGCCAGTGGAGAGAGCCTCCCCCATCTCCCCTCCCCAATTCCAAAGAGGGGGGAAGCCCTCTCCAGCCCAAATCGAGAGGCTGCCAACGTCCCGTCCGAGAAGAAGGAGCAACCCACCCCCAGACGGCCTCTGCTCTGCAAAAAAGGGGAGGCAAAGTGCTTTAACCAGTTCCTGCCCAGGATTCCTTGGAAAGGCTGTGTGCAGAGCCCTCCATGCAAGCAAGAGGCCCATCCCCTTGGTGTTATAGTTTGAGAGTTGGTCTACAGGTACAAAATGTATGGGGGGAACCACATAGTATCTCATGAAAACTTTTCATTTGTATTTATTTTTAAATTATATGATTTATAAGATTTTTTTTTTCATGTCAGGAGCGACTTGAGAAACTGCAAGTTGCTTCCGGTGTGAGAGAATTGGCCATCTGCAAGGACGTCACCCAGGGGATTTTTTCCAAACTATTTTATTTTAAGGTAAGGGTAAAGGTTTTCCCCTGACATGAAGTCCAGTCATGTCCGACTCTGCTCATCTCCATTTCTAAGCCAAACAGCCGGCGTTGTCCGTAGACACCTCCAAGATCATGTGGCCGGCATGACTGCATGGAGTGCCATTACCTTCCCGCTGGAGCGGTACCTATAGATCTACTTACATTTGCATGTTTTCGAACTGCTAGGTTGGCAGAAGCTGGGGCTGACAGTCGCTCCCCAGATTCGAACCTGCGACCTTTCGGTCAACAAGCTCAGCAGCTCAGCGCTTTAACCCACTGCGCCACTGGGGACTCCTTTGAGAGTAATAATAAAAACATTAATAATAATAATAATAATAATAATAATAATAATAAAGGGGAGAAGCAAAAAAGGTTATTTCTCCTTTTTACATGGAAAGTGTGAGAACAATATATTGGAGAGAGAGAAAAGAAGTGAGAAAAGGGAAAAGGAAAGGGAAAAAAGTATACTGTTGTACTTCCAAGCTCTGTCCATACTGAGCATCTCAAATGATCTTCCCAAAGTCTTATCTTTTCCTCCTCAGATTCGTCTTTTGTCAGCCCAAGGGATGTTTAAATGTTTTACCATCCTTGTGAGAGGGTTCTCTCATGACCCTGCATGGGAAGCTGACGCTGACAGACAGGAGCTCATCCTGTCTCGCGGATTTGAACCACCGATTTTCAGGTCTTCAGGTCAGTAGTTCAGCCGGCACAAGAGAGTTGGACTACAGGTGCATATATATGGGGGGGGGGGGGGGGACATATTATCTCATGAAAACTTTTCATATATATATATATATATATATATATGAATGATATGATTTATAAGAGTTATTTTTTTCATGTCAGGAGCGATTTGAGAAACTGAAAGCCACATCTGATGTGAGAGAATTGGCCATCTGCAAGGATGTTGGCTAGGGGACGCCCGGATGTGTTACCTTCCTGTGGGAAGCTTCTCTCTGCATGGGAAGCTGAGGCTGACAGACAGGAGCTCACCCCATCTTGTGGATCTGAACTACCAACCTTCAGGTCTTCAGGTCAGTAGTTCAGCCAGCACAAGAGTTTAATCCATTGCACCACTGTGGCTCCAACAACAAAGATGAAGTGTCAGATTCCAGTAGCAAAAGAATGAGTCCATAACATTGTAAGTGCAGCAATATTTTCTCATTATTTTTCCCACTACTATAAACACCAGCATTAAATTTTTTAAAGGCCCCCCATACTTTTAGATTGTATTCCTGCCCCTTAAACCTCACTCCCTAACCTCACTCTCTCACCTGTATTTTTCTTTGTGCCTACCTTCTGGGAAAATCTGTACTGGATGCCCAGTACAGTTTTTGGCTTCTATATATACTAACTCATATCCTGGTAAATATCCCACTAACACTTTGAGAACATGGAGCACAATCTTATACTTAATCTGCTAAGATATGTAAATGGATTGACTCATAAATGGATTCATTCAATATGCGTGTTTTCACTGACCTATCTAATGAAATTCAGCAAAAGTTAATCAGCCATAGCAGAGCACTCGATGACCCAACCTGGACACAGCATATTATTTGAGAACACAGAAATGCTGGACCACTCTAACAACCACCATGTTGGACTACACAGAGAAGCCACTGAAATCCACAAGCATGTGGACAATTTCATCAGAAAGGAGGAAACTATGAAAATGAACAAAATCTGGCTACCAGTATTACCAACCTGTGAGAGGCTTTGGTAAAGAAAAGTTTAAAGTATAGCAGGAGATCAGCAGAGATGACGGTCACCATTTTGAGGGAGGAGGAAGAAAGGGAGCAGTTTCCTGGAATTTTTCTGGATGTATGGTCTGCTTGCTTAGATACATTGATGCTTTGATGACCACATATTTCAGTTGGTAATTGAGAAAGTGGGGAAAGTCCTAGAAGGACAGTATTTATAAGATAAGGGCATGTATTTACATTGCCTAAGGCACAATTGCTCTAAATAGGAAATAGAAAATGAGAAAGGGAGGCATAGAAAGAGTGATTCATTAAGCAGTATTTTTCATCATAAATCAGAAATGACATAGCATATCCTTTGCTCCTGCACTCCTACAACCGTGGCCAGAGAGATGCTGGTGGAAAGCTCACAATCAGAACGTAGTCCCCAGCAAACAAAAGTAGTATCAGCAATCATTCTATACACATCAATGGACACTTCCACCTCTGTGGATTACTTGGTCTTCCGGATGAAAACATTGCATCTAGAGTAATACTAACACAAAGCTTTGAATACTGTAGGGGGAGCTTAAGAACTTTAGTAGAGTCGACTTCTCTCTCTATTTGCTCTATTTGCCTTTAAAAGCAGAAAAAGTCTTCCATTTTAGTAGGATGAGTAACAACTGCAATTTCCTACAGCTTGTATAGAGGGAAGAGAGTAGGAAAGGAGAAGTGAGCTTAATTAAGATAACCAAATTATAAAATGAAAAGCCTTTAAAAACAAAGTGGCAAAATTGCAGCCTGTAACGTTCTTGAACTCCCTTTCTTGAACTCTCTTTCTGTCCCTTTTCTTTGACTTCCTGCCTGGGAGAAGTCCAGTAAAAGATGGAAATAAAATAAATCACAAATGGGTTCAGGAGCATGAGAGAAAAAGAGAGAAGTTGATTTACTGGATAACCCAGGCTTTCTTCCATAGGTGCCCACCATCTTATCTGTTGTTAACCAGGAGAAGGACTAGTTCAGCTCAGAGTACTGTATACTCTCTGAATGCTGTAACAGGATGCCAGAATCACTAGTATCCTTTGCCCTTCAGGGTCAGCTTTCCTTGCCCCACACAAGCATGCTAAGGCAGAAGTCTTGTTGAGATCTTCTGCTCAAGTCAGGATTAAAAGAAGATGGAAGGAACAAAGAACCATCCCAGTATTTCCAACCAACCCCTTCCCCCAGGCTGTGCTGGCTGTAACACATCCTGTTACAAAGGATTTGGGATGGGGGGGGGGGGCTCAAAGAGCACGCTGGTTTCCTGACCTCTCTTGTGGTCTGGGAATGGACCATGATTCTGTGGTCACTTTGGGTAGAAACTCTAGCATAGAACATATTCCAGGAGTCTGAGATGTTTGGGCCACTATGGTCAAGCTCTTCAATAGCTACAATTTCCTGAACAATTTGGAACTTGGGAAACCCTGTACATAGCATGTCTGTCTGTCTGTCTGTCTGTCTGTCTGTCTGTCTGTCTGTCTGTCTGTCTGTCTGTCTATCTATCTATCTATCTATCTATCTATCTATCTATCTATCAGAAATAGCACATTGTGGATGAAGTTGATTATTTAATTATTTGGTTTTGTACCTTGGTGGGTTAATGCAGTCAGCTTTATATACATACAAAATATTTTCCCAGGTTCTCATTCTCTCTCTTTCTCTCTTTCTCTGTGTTTATCTATGTACCGTATATGAGGAGAGACCTATTCTTCTGTTGCATTGTTTAAGAGATGAGGCAGACCACAAACTATTCAAAACTCATTCTGGAATTGGATGCAGCTATTAAAGAAATGAGGGGAAGGCATTTCCCCATCTATACAATATTTTAAAGCTTTCCAACAATAAAAAAGAGCCTGGATGGAATAGCATCAAGAAGAAGCAGGGTTACTGTTCAGGGTCACATCTCCCAGAATCCCCAGTCAATGGGACAATCTTTTAAAATGTATTTCCATTAGTACTTATGTGGAAATTTCATACACATTATCTCTAAACTGTTCCTATGCATATAGGATTTCTTGAAATTTGAAAGCATGCTGTTCTGAAGGAGACAGTAGGCAAGATTGGTCCTGTGGAAGAGCATCTGATGACCTTTGGGGAAACAGTTATAGGGAAGGGCAGAAAGAAAGAGGAACCACAACCAGAGCCAACTGCACTGTTATACTGTTGCTCCATTCTCTTTCCCTTGCTTCAACTCCGTTTTTGTTGGCAGATCTCGCCTATATGTTGGCTTAAATTTCCAAGTCAATTCCATGTGGTGAATAGTTTCCTTCATGACATGTTTACATTTGAGTGAGATGGGAGTGTTTGATGTCTTTATTGGGCCTGCTCCTTTTCTTGAAAGTGTTATCTACTTGCTAAATGACTTAGATTGACCTTATCTAGCCTGTCACCGTCCAGATTTATTTGACAACAACACAAATTATCTCTAGAAACTATGACCCATGCCAAGTCATCCTTCCCCAACTTGGCATTCCCCAGATGTGTCAGATTACCTTAACACCAATAGTTCAAAATATCTGAAGAATACCAGATTAGGTAAGGTTGATTTAGAGTTTAGCGTCCATGTGGTTGGAGGATCTGGGAGGTGCATTCCAAAAACAAGTTTTCTGAGTGCTGGTCTGTATTGAACAACAACAGATACAGTGGAATAATTGTTCCGGGAAATCCCTTGTCCACTCTTGCAAAGTTTATTTTTCTCAGGAAAGCTAGTCTGGTATCAAATCAAGAAGTTTTGATCCCCCCCCCCCCTATTTCTTCATGCCAGCAACCTGTTGTAGACATATCACAATAATAGTAATGGTAAGACTTGGATCTTTTTCACACATGTTATTTATTTCTGAGAACACAGTATTTCTTACTCATAAATATTTTATGTTAATTAAATATATCTGTTCTTTTTGAAAGTGCTTTGTGACATATGTAAA